CCCCCTCCCCCCCCCCCCCCCGCACCATTACTTAACCACATTGTAAAATTTAAGGAAATGGCATTTTTACTTCTTACTTTTAAAACTTGAGTGTTAACACTTTGACCTACCTGTACATTTAAAAGGTGACATTTTTCAAATCATGATTTGAAAAAATAACAACATAAAGAGGTGATCCTCTTATTACCACTAGTGTCATTCCCTATCCATGAAATAATACTTGCAAGCATGGAAACTTTACAGCAAGTAGTACTTGGCGTAATTATAGGGCTCTTGAAGTGGTTAAATTAGGTTTAATATTTTGACATTTGCTGATATTGGTAAAATATGTTGGTGCATGTCGGCAAACAGAGGATACTGTCCAGAGGAAAACAAGAGGAATTATACATGCTGTGTTTATTTTTCTGCAACTGAGCAAATTTATTAACTAAATCAGCATAAGATGTTGAAATATTAACTAAAGAAAATATTGTTTACTACAGAGCAAATTAACTTACTGTATAGTGGGTTATTAGTCTTTGTTATGAAGAATCAAATAGATATGTGGCACAGGAAGTATATAGTCTCTTTGACAATTAATGAAATTCTGTGGCATCTTCTGTAGATAAGTCTTTGTACTGAAGTGTTTGGGGAAAACCCATATGCTAGATTAAGTTTAGGAATCTTCAAGACAGCATTATGAAATGTGGACTTGAGATTCATTTCCAGTAAAAACTATTGTTCTACGTAGATCAATCCAACTCTGCAGGGACCCTCACTGAATGTACTGACTCACTGAATGATGTGTCTCCTCTTGTTTCCAGCGTACTCATAAAATCACCCGCTTTTCTGTAATCTACTTAACACCAGGAAAAGGTGTGTTAATCTGTTTATCTGAGAAAGTCTGATTAAGTCCTCTCGGAGTTGGATCAATCTACGTAGAACAATAGTTTCATTGGGAATGAATCCTAAGATATGTAAATAGACAGACAGACTTTCCTATAGACAGACAGATATTTATTATTGTGCCACAGGTATTCTCCAATGATTAATGGAACCATTCTGCATATTTTATTAAGATTATTTTTGATAAAAAATGCCTACTAATGTGTAAGATTATTATTATAGCAGAAAAGTACATGTATAAATGATGTGTTTATATAATAAACTATAGAGCTCTAACTGTTACATTACCAAGTGCTTTATTCACAGATATTGACATTTGTCTCTTTTATTTGTAGCATCCAGGAATTACTGTAATGACTTGATCTTTTCGATTGGCAAAAATCAAACTTTCAGATATATTGTTTTATAATCACAAAAACTGTATTTCAGTATAGCATTTATGATGCTTTTAATACAAAGAATAGAACTACAGGGTAGATTGCTTTTAATTTTATTGTAACCACTCAGTAGAAATGTTCTAAGTGTAAGAAATTATGACTAAAAATACAGTATCTGTAGAATTCAAAATTTTCCCCCATTGAAAAGATCGAATAATTACCGTACGATAAGTAAACATGGTTAGAATATTGTTGGCAAAACATATACATTTACTTCTGATATATTAAATGTACACACAGTCTTATATATCATTGTCATTGAAGCTGCTATGGATGCTTTTAGGCGTATTGGAGAGTTGCTCTAATGGGAAATATATGATGATTGAGATTAGAGTGCTGTTTTAAGTCATATGATAAGACACCCAAACACAATCTCCCACATGTTTGCAAACACACACACACACACACACACACACAGATATATATATTTATAAAATAAGTAACAAGTTATCAGGTATATGCTTATTATCTTATGGTACACCATCTTTTAAATGTGCTTTCTGTTACAGAGATCTGCCCCAGTATGGACATAAACAGTGGCAGTCTTATTTTGGAAGAACATTTGATGTTTACACAAAACTGTGGAAGTTTCAACAACAAAACAGGTACATACTGATAGGTTGAAATGCTTCATTAACCTTGTCATGATTTTGGTTGATTGATTTGTTGTCAGCATTGTAATTTGCTCTTCTTACCCAGGTAGATTTTTAGCCAATTTGAGAATATTCCAGAGTTTTCATTTTTGTTTCAATCTACACTTCAATTTTTATTTGTTGTTTTAAACTATTGAAGATACTTAAATTATATGCTGTGCAAAGTCCATCACTCACTAACTTTTAGGCTGCCTTCACAACAGCAGACTAACAGATTAGCAGATCAATTATGGCCAACCCACTTGACTACTTGTTGTGTACTCCTAGAGGGAATCTATTCAGTGTTCATGAGGGGATTATGCAGCAAACTTTTAAGTGGGTTGCCATATTTGATCCAGGGATCTGTTAGTCTGCTGTTGTGAATGAGGCCTCATACAAATTTGTAACTTGGTTCATGCAAATATAATTTTGCTTGATTTTATTGTTTGGTCAAATTATTTAGCCATAAGCACATTGTAAAAAAGAATACTTTTTTTTTTGCTCAAAAATTATCATTTTAAAACCATTCTCAAAAATTTAACTTTCAGATATGAAGCATGGAATTGACCAAATCATAGATTTTCATTCTTTTTTAATGCAATTTTTATGTCAGTTGGTATGTCTTATCTTTAGACAAACTTTAGACACAAAGTATGGGTTGAAGAGATGGCAGATAGGAGAGATAGCATCCAAGATAGGACAGCTCTACTATCACTATTAGTAAGTCAGCTTTTCTCTATTTAAAAAATTAAAAAAGAAAAAAAAAACAAATTTAAGTGGTTTTTTATTTGTTTGTTTGTTTGTTTGTTTTTCAATTTATTCATTTATTTATTTAATGTTAAAACAAAAATTGTTAGCTAATAATTGACAGTTTTGGGGAAAATGTCTTTCAAGACAGGACGACTTTTTTATTACTCTTTGTAAGTCAGCCTTTCCCTTCTCACTTTTGGATATTTTTAACTAGTGAAAATAATTTCTTAAATATAATGATATTTTGACGAATTGTTATTATTTATATAGGAGAGAAAGCTCTCAAAACTTGGCAGCTTTAAAACACATCCTTATAATTTGGAAAAAGTACATCTGTTTAACTAATTGCTTACCGTATCAGAAGCAATTTGTAAATGTTTTTCGTTTTTCCTCATAGCTTTTTCCATCTTTGTGATATGCTCTATTTAGGTGTCTACATGTACTGCTAGTACATGTAAGTCTGTAGCGCATGCACTTTACAGTCATTAGTTGCTGTATACACAGTAAGTCTTCTTTTTTTTTCCAAGAAGCAGTTGTGCAGAGACTTTCTTGAAGATTTGTTTTGAGTGAATGGCCACTGCAGTTGAAAGTCTCTCCAGTGTTCTAATCAATTCTCTAGAGAGTATGATCACATGGGTGGTTCCTTTATTTTTCATAGTTGGTTGATAATAACCCAGATTCTTAAAGATGTTGTATTATTATTATTATTATTATTGTTATATCTAGTGGATGTCTCTTAAGTACTCTAGCAAATTGTTTTTTTCTAGGAAAGAGGTTGGGGCTAGGCTATTTGGGAATATCTTGTTTCATCCCAAAGAAAATTATTACCCTAGATCTAGGGCACATGAAACTAAGATCCAATCCCAGGTCTACGAGTATGCAAGTCTACCAAATACATGTACTGTAGCTAGGATCTGGTGTAATGTGTATTATGTGGAAATAAATTCCTCTGGAGATCCAAACAAATTGCCAGAATGTTCCATTGAAGTATGATAGCAAATCCTGGAGAATGTCCTAGCCTCACTGATGCCCAGTTTACACAAGTTTTGATAAAAAAAGTAGTAAATGATGTTGTTAGTCAAATTGATTGATCACTTAACACATGTTTGTTGGTCTCCCCCTGCCTAAAAAAACGTTAGAAACAAAAAACAAATCTAAAGAAAAAATGTTCTGATTTAGCAGAAATGCTAGTCTTCTGAATAACTGGTGAGTAACCTTGTTTGTCTACTAGCCACATTGAAAACCAACACCATTTCAGATAAGATTGATGTGAACACAGCTTTTATTGTCTGTAATATGTAACAGACTCCTCAGCCGAATCCTTATAGTTACAAGGGTTATCATAGATATGAAGGAAAAGCAATACAGCATAGAGGATACTTCAGTTCAATAGAAACGGATATTCTGATCCATTTGCACAGGAAAAGATATGAGTTTTGATATACATTGTACCAGTTGCCACTTGTGGCAGTAGAGAGTTCCTAGCATATGAAGCTCATCTCTAGCAAAACCTTGTTTTTTTTGTTTTTTTTCTGCACCAATAAAAGGGAATGAATAGTCTTCTTTGCTAATTTTTCATTGTAATTTTACAAATGTCACTCTTTTCATGTTATTTGTATCAGCACCTTATATCAACTCTTTCTCCCTGGCTTTAATTGTTTCACTGGAGGGATTATTTATTACCATTTTAAGTGCATATAGCATTAAGCTTATAAATTCATAATGATACAATAAGATTATTGAACCTTTCGTGGGTAACTAGAGATGATATGCAGCATAGGTTTTTAACAGACAGTCCACTAATGGAGGATACTAGTTTTTCCTTGTCACACAATATCTATTGATTTTTACATGCTCTTTGATCATGAGCTGTGAGTTATTAGATGCCTCTGTACTGTATTTACTAAAAAATCATGCCTGTGATCCTCAGAGTTTTCTAAGATGTTTCTTAAGTGGTTATTTTGAGTATTTTCAAGCTCAGTTTTATAGGTGTACTAGTAGAACAGACAGAGTTGGGAGTCTTATAATTTCTACAATACTAGCAGTAAGGAGATGGCATTGCTGCTTGGACTGCATTCAGATAGTCGCGGCCTTACTAGACCTCGGATCTTCCCGATGTGAATGCTCCCAATTTGCTGTGGTTTCACAAAGTCACTGTCTCAGTGACATACATGTACTTGGCTTCAATGAAGTTATTCTTTTTCTTGTAGTTCCAAAAAGCAAGCTCAGACATATGGAATACTATTAGCAGCTCAGATGGGACATATGCAAATTGAAGTCAAAACATATCTGCTACCATGGAGAAGGACTATACCAGGTCATCTGGTTCAGTGGTCCTATACATCAATACCCATTTATTAAATACTGTCCATGCCCCATTCCCCCTCCACCCCCCACCCCCCCCCCCACCCCCAAGTTACATGCTGCTTCTAGCACAGTTGTAAACTGTTTTGACTTAAGATGACCTGCTGAGTTAGAACAGGCTTAGTTAGGCCGACCCATCATCACTGGAAATACACCTTAAGATAGATTATTTTACCTACATGCACCTAATAAACAAATGGATCAATATTGGCATTTGTGCACTGTCTGTGATATGCTTTGAGAGTAGTGTAAATGATAGTTTTCTGTGTTCAAGATGCATAGATAAATGAGTGTGTCTAATGAAAATAGTATCAGTGTCAGGTTGAACAGATATTATTTAGGTTTGTGCTCTTATTTAACCATAGTTGCATGTTGTAAATGGGAGTATTATTTCACACAGGAATAAAATTTGTTGTAGCCATTGATAAAAATGAGAGAAACCGTGCCTTTTGTTGAAAAAAAAAAAGCTATATTTTTTGGATGAAACCCAGAATTCAGAACTTTGAAATGAATCAATGTTTAGATTTGGGGATTTTATAGAGATTCTTTATTTTTTCTGAATTTTAATTTGTTTATAGCGGTTCAAATTCTTTAAAATAGATCCATTATCCCTGACTTTCGCACTTCTGTGTCATCCTTTTTTTGCTGCACAAAATTCCAGTTTGTTATTGGTAGATCTTCACCAGGTAAAAGTGTGAGAAAATTGTGTTCTGCCTTGATTAACTACGTATGCTACGAGTCAATCTTTTCTTGTTTTGCAGCCTTCGAACCAGCGAGACAAACTACTTGAATGAGGCCTTCTCTTTTTACTCAGCTATAAGAATGAGAGCTTACTATTCCAAAGCCAACAAAGAGGAAAGGTAAATTTTCTTTATGAGTACATAAAAAGAAACTTTCACAGTAGCATAATTTTAATATTTGTTGTTGCATACTAGATAGAAATAATGTTTTTAGTAATTCATGTTAGAATTTTGGTGTGTTTTTTTAATGTATCTTTAGAAAGGTCCTCAAGTTGAAATAAAAAAAAACTTTAATTAAGTTACACTTTTTTGCCACACTATAAATATGCAAAGTTTTGTTTTGTTAATAGTTATTAGTGATAATGATTATGATAATTATGAATATATATTTTAATTTTAGGCCCGATCTTATGGTGAAGAAATTACGGTACTATGCTAGGTTTATTGTGGTATGCTTACTGCTAAAAAAAATGAAACTTGTCAGGGATTTAGTAAGGGTAAGTTCCACTTTCAACTCATGCACATAAGAACACACTTTGATCAATGGGAAATAGATTTTTGGGTTTAGCTAAAGAAAATAAAAGTGAATAATAGAAATATGAAGGGACATATTAATATTATGTCTGAAACATGTCACCAGACAACAAAATTAATTTGTCAGAGGTTTTGATATCTGGGGGACATGTGGGGCTCTTAATTATACTGACCCCTGTGGTGAGAATTACTGCTGTGCTGCAGACATCTGAATCTTGAATGAATTAAATTGGCAATATGATGACATGTTTAAGACCTGGAACAGTTATCAGGTAACATTAACATGTAGGTCGAAATAAGATTTTTTTAAATTTATTTTTCATTTCCTATAAGGAACTTGCAAAACAAATAGAAGACTACACACAGATCTATGAACCTGAGGACCAGCTGGAGTGGTCACTGGTTCTTGGGGAGATAAAAGCTTTCATTGAGGTATGTACCAGCATTAACTCAATATTATTCTCACTGATAATTCCAGTGGTATTTAGGATTTTTCCTTTATCAGACTAATTTATGCCACCTGATGATGCCATTATATAACACAAAATTTAAAGATGTGACCAAGGCCCAAGTAAAGAGTTAAGCCAGAATTTGAAGAAAAGGAAATCAAATTTATTTTCTTACTAAGTTGGGACATCTATTCTACCATATACCTTTAGCCCCTATAACAATAATCTAAAAAATTGACAATCCAGAATTGAAATAGGGAGTCCAAAAGACAGTTGAATAGTTGCCTGTCAAATGCCCAAAAGAGGCTGCTAGGTATCTACTCATCTTATGATGTCTATTTGCATTTTATGTTGTTTCTGTTATGAATACTACCTATGCATTCTGCTCTAATGTCAAGCATATCCTTAACAGTCACATACTGTGGGAGGTGTCTATATTCATTTGTTGAATGGCCAGCAGGAAATTGATCATCTCAGCAAAAGAGAGAAAATGTATCAATGAAATTGATAAGAGAAATGTCTCATTTGGGGGGGGGGTTAAAGTTAAAACTTATTTGCAGTTTCTGTTGTGATTGCTATAGTGTTTGGACAAAATACCAGTGTTAGTGTTATTTCAAATCCAAGTTTGATCTTGATGATTAAAAAGCCAAGGTTTATGTGAAAGTATTTGTTACAATATTTTTTATTCTAAAAAAGATATGTAGATGTCTTTTAAAGGAGATATATATTTTTTACACGAAAAAGTTAATATATTTACTGCATTTTTTTAATAATGAAACTAGCTGTGTGGTTTCAACATCATAACACTTATGGTTGACTGTCAGATGCTCCCTCCTCTTTCGCCACTTGCTTTTTACATACATACTTCTGCTTTTGCTCAGTTTTTCATTTTTCCCCATCAACTTGCCTATAAATCTCACAACACGATATATTCTGTGTTTGCCCACATAGTTACATTTGTCAGCACTTCACTGCCACTGAAAAGTTAAGTTGGACTTGGCTCATTCCTTTGGAGACAATTTACAGAACTTGACAGGTTCAGGCATATGCTTTTTTTACAAGTGACAAATATTATTTAATTAAACGTTAAAAAAAGATCAGTTTTTGCTTTTTATTATTGATTTGGAAAAGAAAGGCATCTTTGACTAAAACATAAGAGAAAGACTTGTGTGGTGCTAGAATCTAAAAATTGATATCTTCGACTAAGTTTAGGGTGTCATGTTGAGCAAACAGCACATTATCTCAATTCATTTTCAATTTTCTTCTAGAATTAGCTTTGGAGGGATGAAAATCAATAGTGTATTTATTTCTTGTCATACATGTGTAAGTAGTGAGTGTGGATGTGAGCGTGTGTGTGTTAAAGAAAAAGAACATCCAATTCAGTCATCTTTATTAAATCATGCCTTTTACCAACAGATTTTATATCTGAATATGCCATATTGTATTTTTTTTGTGAATATCTATATGCTATCACTCTTCATTTTTTTAATGGCACTCTTTCAAAAGTCATGGATTATGTGGGATTTCAAAGGATTTTAATGAAGATGATTTTCTTCAATAGCTCTGACAAATTGACCCTAAGCTTCTGGTACTTTGATTTTTCAATTTAAACTTGGAACAAATTAAAGTAAGTCATCTATTGACCAAGGTTCCTAAAGCAAGGACTCCAGAAATAGAAGAGAAAAACTGTTATGGCAGTCCTTGCCATATATATGGTCCCTTTGCTGCTGATGATGATGTAAAGATCAGTCATAGCCAAGTACCAAACATCAAAGACTACTGAATACCCTCTCTGGGCTTGTCTGGCAAGTAATTGGCCTTCCTGTGAGCAACCAGTCATTTTCGCCGCATTAATAAAGGAAATTATGGGTCTGTAAAGAGCCGTAGGTCTCAGAAGACTCGCCATACAAATGGCCACATATACGATTGAAAGTGATCTAATTTTAGCTCTAAGCTGGAAGCTTATCAAATTATAGACTGTATAAGTATGTGGTTAAAGACAGGCCCCTAAATGCTGGCAACCAGCAACATATTGGTTATTTCAACCAAGGGTGCTCTGTCAAGTATTCATGGTCTTGTCTGATTAATTCCCTACACAACAGATCGCTTATGAGTTTGGCCAAAAGGTGAATCTGCCCTTTAGGAACCCAGCTCTTGTATGAAGAACCTACAGGCATGATGTTTTTAATTAGACCTCTATTGTATTAATATTGGTATGCTCTATCTTATTATCTTCTTTAGTCAAAATGAGGGTTCTTCTGCATGGATTTTACTGTGAGGAGCAGGGTACATGTATTCTTAAAGTAAAAAATTTCCAGTGTGTCAATGTTAATAGACTATTCAAATAGTTATCAGGATATAACAAACTTGACAATGGTAGTACAAATAAATATTGGATATATTTACATGCATCAAATTTGTTAGTGATTGACACATAAGTGTGTGTGTGTGTGTGTGCGTTTTTGTTGACTTTCATCATGTCAGAACATTTATACTTTATAGTGCGTATGCACCATGCATTTCTTTTCCTGAAAAAGTCCCATATTAATGAATTCCTCAGCTTTGGAAATAGGCATCATTATTAACAAGACACCATATGAAATTTTGAGTAAGTTATTGACTAGTGGCATGAAGACGTAGATTTGCAGATGACTTCTTTACCTTTGGGAAATTGCAGTACTCTTTTTTTTTTTCGTAATTGGTTATTTTTCATATTCTGTTTGCTAAATGTAGCAAATGACAATCCTTGGTGAACTAGGAAGTATTAGATTAGTATCCGTTTTACTCTGTCTAGAGCATCATAAATCAGCCATCTCAAAGAGAAGTACTATGTAGTAGAATTATGTAGCTTAAAGTGCAATTTTGAAATATTTACAGCTGGATTTTTGCTACTTAATTACAAAAGAAGACTTTTTTGGACCACAGCTTTTTTCCCTATTAGAAACAGATGCATGAGTAAGAAGTTTTTACTTTCAGAACGTATCATTTCCTTCAAGTATTCAGACTAATTCTGACTTGCTGACAAGCAGTACTCTGCTATCATCCAGCAGTATATTGATACGTTCCCCTATATTGGCTATGACAGGGATTGATCACTTAAGATATTGGTTTTGCATGCATATTGTGTTATGTATGAGTTTCATGTATTACATATTAGATAAAAAGCTTGTGTGGTTTATCCACATGCTGCATTTTGAAGTTCCATGGTGTAGAAATAAACTGAGAAAAAATTTTATTTTGATATGACTTCTTACTTGCAACTGATTTATGACATGATTGGGAATTTTTGTTAGTTTCTTGTAAAGTTGAAATGCAGCAGTTTAGTGTTTTATGTGAGTTTTTTTTTTCTAAGAGAGTGAAATCAGTGCTAATTTTTCAAGGTTATTTTATATTTTACTCAGAAACCATACTAGGTTACATGTGCATTTTCAGTAAATTAAGTATCATATATTTCTCACTTATGAATTCTGACTGTGTGTGCAGAGGCCATTCAAATGTCTAACATAAAATGTTATCAAAATGCGGCATGCCTGTTCCCACCATTTATGATAAACAGTAAAACAACCTCTGTGAAGGAAAGAATTTGAGGTCCAGAACTGGTAGAACTATTATGGGATAAGCTGTTGCTTTTTGTGTGAAAATATCAATTTTGTTGCCAGATTATTTATAATAGCTAGGTTTTCCTCAATCCAATATCAATTGATGAAGTATTGAGACATTTAATGGAGTGCTTCAAACTGAGCCACTTCAAAGGAGGCTTATTGACATTTCGCTGAACAGGGATATTATTTCCTGGAAAGTTGGTTGAAAATAGAAAGAGTGCAATAATGATACCACATTTACACAATTATATGTTATTTTGTCATGCATTAATCATTTGCTGTTGTGAGATGAGAACAATAAAGGAACCTTTAAGTGCAGTTATACCAATTTTATGGTATCCTATGTATAACCAAGGTTATGTATCTACAACATAAATTCCAAGCCTTTATAAAATTTATGCATAAAAGGAACACATATTTAAAATTCTACATATATATTAATTCCTGGTTGTTTTACTTGTTGTATTTTTTTTTATGACTTTGATACCTGTAGGCAGATGTCCCCGTCAATGTTGTAGATGTGGACTCCTCACCTATTGTATTGTCACATCGCCTTACACCACTAAACACGCCACCTATGGAGCAGGGGTCCTCCGTCTACCTCACGCTACAGGAGATACTCATAGTGGGCAACTGTTACGAACAGGTGTGAGGGGGAGAGAGATTACACGATTATGTCAATAATAAGAGTAGATACATGTAAAAGTAGTAATGATAATAGCTGATTAAGATCAGGATGGTACCTTACCACTTTTGCAGCTTTTGACCTATACACATTTCATGGCAAATATTATACAATAAGTAGATAAAAAAAAGACAACAGATACATTCAGATGCCTTCATATAGAAAAACACACACACACACATTAGTTAAAATGGATATGTAAGATTCTTTGTAATCGATCAATTGAAGAAATGCATCATGCAGCATGTATCTCTGTTTTTGCAGGTGAAATTTAGTGAACTTACATTAGACATGTTCAGAATGCTCCAGACCCTAGAGCGAGAACCCCAGGAAGATTTATCCAATCAGCTCTATGACCAGTCCCCAGCCCCAGGGAATAAACCTGGATTTGTAAGTCTCTTCCTTTGTTGAGTTTGATATAAGAGGTGAAGAATTGTATAAATAAATTCTATTTTTATGTGAAGCTAAAGATGTATTTTTTTATATAATACCAGATGGCAAATGCCAAGAAGATGTAAGAGAACAACTATCAGAAATATTTATGTAACAGAAGCTAACAGCTTGTATTCAAGAATACTAAGTCTTATTGAGTTGACAAGTGAACTGTTTATTGCAGGAAAATGGAGATAAAATCAACAAAAGGGACAACCCTCATAAATATCTCCTGTATAAACCTACCTTTAGTCAGTTATACACATTCCTGGCATCAGGGTTCAAGGAACTGCCCCCAGGGGGCACTATGTTAGTCTATGTGTCTGCTGATGGTAGTTTGGGGAACATGAAAGAGACAGAAGATGGTGAGTGCATTTTTGTAATGGTATCTGGGGAAGCACTATCTTACTTGTTTCTTGCCATTTTTGTAAAACTTATTTTAAATTAACACCATTGATGAACAGAAGAAAACTAAATATGGATCATTTCCACTAATCAAATGATGAAAAGATTTAAAGCATTTTGAATAAATTACCTGACAGTGCATGAAAATATATGCATATGGACCATGAATGATGGTTATTGTTTTTATTGTTATACAAAATTTTCAGTGGCATTTGACTTTGGAGGGGTTGTTACAAACAACAAAAGAGAAGGAGATGCCTTCAACAACAGAACAAAAAGACCTGCTCATATTAAAGAGATGCACTGGTGGGTATACAGTTTGTTATTGGGATTAAACTTACAGTCACATGTGACCTTAAACTAAGGGGGGCTTCTTATAAACCCAGCATAGCAGCTGGATCGATCTAAGTCTACAGGGATTCTCTCTAAATTGAGTTCAGTGTAAACGGCTTACATGTTTGGCACACCTACTCAAGCTGCTAGTGGATAATTAATGATAGTCAAGTTACTCAAAGGGTCCTATCAGACAAGCTGATTTCTCTGAAAGGACTTGAGAAAGAAGCCCTGCAGAGTTAGATCGGTCCAGCTAATACGATATGTTTATGGGAATGCAGTCTAAGAATTTTGCAGGAAGGACAAATATGCTCAATATCATGCTTACTAAGCACTGATATTTTAATTTAAATTGCAGTCACACTTGTGTTCCATAACTAATAGATAATGCAAAAAAAATGCACAGAAATAATAAATAAAAGCAACGAAAATGACCAAAAAAATGAAAATCTTATCTTGAGTCTTAAACAGTTTCAAGTTCTTTTCTCTTAAAAATATTTGATCTCCTGACTGTCCAGCTATAAATGTTAAGTTTTTTCTTGCAGTCTTCATCCAGGAGATGTCTATCCCTTCACCAGAAAGCCTTTGTTTCTTATCATTGACAGTGATAACAGTACTGCCTTTCAGGTAAGATGGCTCACTGATAGCTGCAAACATTTTGCGTGTTTTCTCTTGGCTGAGATTATTAATGTAGTGTGTGTGTGTGTGTGTGTGTGTGTGTGTGTGTGTGTGTGTGTGTGAGAGAGAGAGAGAGAGAGAGAGAGAGAGAGAGAGAGAGAGAGAGAGAAGGCATGCATCCATACCTATGATACCTGTGTTTGCATTTTTTCTTTTCAAAAAAAGCTAACAATAGCATTAACATGTATAGGAAACTGATGTAGCAAATTAATATTTTAACCTTATAAGATAGACTTGTATGAAATAAAATTTACATTTGTATAGTGATTCTTCTTCTTCAGAACTTCCCAAATTTGTTTGGTCAGCCTATGGCATGTTTATTGTCACCAGAAAATGTGCCTGCAACAATGCAAGGTGAGAAACAATATTCAATATTTACAATCATGTACATGAACTAAAATAAATAAATGTACTTTTCATTCATTCTCAGAAACCCACTTGCATCTGATCCCAATGTCGAACTACTGAGTCAGACTCAAGAGTTGTTTCATTTAAGCCAAACTTCACCTGCCAGTACAATTCTTTAACTAGTAGTACTACAAATGAAACAAGTAGTAGTATTATTGGCTATGCTGAAGTATATTTTGAGAAAAAGTTATTATCTGTGGTTTCAGCCAACGATAGAATAAAAAACAGAATCTATTTACAGAAAAGGTGCTACATATAATACACGATAAATCCTTTTTTTTAGATCAACATCAAAAAGGTAATCTGTTCACAATGTTCCTTCACAGCCCTCTAATGGGGTTTTGCTATGTCTGCAGCATCGTTGACATTCCTATTGCACTGTGGGACAAATGTCAAGGCCACATTGAAAAGTTCATGGCGGAAGCAAGCAAGGTCTTTTCTAGGTCAAGGTCATTAGGTGAGTCTCAGAAAAAAAGACCATTTTTGTTCTTCATTTCATATCTGTCTGTCCTCCATTTTTCTTTTTCCTATGTGAGGGATAAGCTTTTTTTCACCCAGCAAACCTTTTTAGATTGGCTGTAACTGCACTTGCGAATTTAGTTATTGGTAAAGAATTATCTTTTGCTTTCAGATCATGCATTTATGCAGTTTTATGGTGATGACTTTCTGAGGCTTCTGATGCTGAGGTTTATATTCTGCTGGATAACTCTAAGGTTACACAGAGGGTTCAAGGTAAGAGAGCATTATCACATTGACTACATTGGTTTCTTACACACTGTGATACTTAGCACTGTCACAACAAACACAATGTATGTAAGTGTCACTTTACATGGTAGCACTGTCAATTTGGCACACACTGACACCTTACACACACACACATACATAACAATCACAATAAGCATTTATCTGCACACTGAACTATCAAAAACATGTTGATGAAGTAATTTTTGCTTGATAACTATCCGAGATAGATAAATTAGGCAACAGGCCAACTTACACATTCACAGAATGTAAACACCAACAAAAGAAACTTTCTTTATTCTCAATGCAGATTTTCAGAAAACATTTGAAAAAGTATTTTTTAACAACACATTTCTTTCTCTGCCCCCAGGGTCCCAGTTATTACCCCACAACCCAGCCCCCACTTCCAGAGGATGAGATTCTCCACCAGGCATCGCTCCACAGGCTGGTCATGGACGTGGCATCCACCTTAGAGGTGCGAGGACTCTTTGGGGACCTCACGGAGGTGGACTGACAATTAATGCAGGAGAGCACAGATGATGGAGCTCTCTGGATCTAGAAACTAGTGCACATCAAGGTGCCGTTACTCTACAGATTTGGTATTAAAAGTATGCTATAATACCTAGACTGACTCAAACTTGGATTTAATGTGCTGGTAAATGGGATGAAATATTTCATCCAAATGATTTTTTTAGTCTTAAGATGTGCCTGAAGTGAATAAGAAAACGTACCCAGTATCTACACGATCATTTCTTTTATCCCAAGTAAAAAAATTGGAAATTGGGCAATATCTTTGAGGTCTGACATGCCCAGTGATGTGCTGCCCTATTTAGGATCTACACTAGTTTTACTAAGGTCATTACCAGTGCTGTGTCTAAGTCAGTTTATCAGCTGAATTACTTTTTACACTTTAATTAGGCATCTTTTTTATTGGATCTAGTCTTAAGTTGATGAAAGGTGTGTAATGTTGTTTTCTGTCAAATCCTAGATGTGCATTTTTTTTTCAATCAAATGTATTTCATACAAAGATGTAGTTATTAAAAGTAATAACTAACCCACCTGCTCATCCCTAAACATGATAATATTTTTCCTTATTTTTAAAGTTTTTGTACCATGTACAGGACAAAAAAACACTTGTTTCAAATTTTCTAGGCACCAGTAGTCCCTTTATCTAAAAGACATCATGTATACTATCTTGTAATGAGATTTAAACTTGACAGTAAAATGTCGGCCTTATTTTTAACATGTGTATTTAAAATGAGGATATGGAAGAATACAGTTCTAAAACCTAGTATGTTTCAATGCATATTCTGATTATCAAGATGTATTTGTGTATTCTTCCTCTGCCTGCTGTGAGCAAGTGTAAACTGTGACAGGGTACCTGAACTGAAGACAAGTTTATATTTATTCAGTGCATAAACATACTGAGAAAACATTTTGAAGCATTTAAAAAAATCAAAACCACACACGTTCACATATATAGATGTAGCTTTTTAGTAGTATTCAAGTAGAGAAAAAACCCAAGTGTATAACACATTGGTCACCTGTTGTTTGTGTAATTGACAAAGTTCATTTGAATGTATGTATACTTTTTTGTGCATTTACTCAGTTGTGCAGACTTTGTATAAAGAGTGCAGTGGACTTTTAAAGATATCAAGCTCTTGTAAAAATATATACATAAAGAAGCATGCATGGACTGTGCAGTGACTGACAGGGTTAACTGTGTGTTTACCGGGTATGTTCACACAAGAAAATTTTGGATTGGAGATAGACTTTACTGCCTCACTGACACAGCTGAAGGCATTGATTGTGTTTCAGTCCATGCATGTAATGTAACCTGGTCATTTGGTGAGTTCAATCAGTTTGTTTGTGATCAAAGTTGGACCTGAAATGATACTAGATATGAATTGTAATGTGTTATATTTTTCCTTTATTTACATATACAACTAAGCCAGTAAAATTTCTTTAATTTAGAAAGTAGGTAAATTATTTTTTCTTGAACTGTGATGAAACTGAGGCTCCGTATAACAGAACGTCCACCCTCCATTTAATTATGCAGGTTAGGGTTAGCCTGACGTGATTGGGTCAAAATCTAGGGCAAGGCTTACATGTGCAAATTAATGGGGACCGGACTCTTTATCATTGGAGACTCTGTCACGTCACAAATTATTTTTTCTTAAACTAACACAATTAATATATATATAGGTTTCATTAATTAACTTACATAGATTATCAATATATGTAACAACATGGAAACGGGCTCTGCAGCACACTAACTTACATAAATTTCATGTCATATTGTCTCATCAAACTTATGATTCGATTTCTAAGCATAGGGGGGGCATTCTAATCATGTCCTTCTGCCCACTACCATTGCCATTAGGCTGCTTGCCATGCATAGCAATAGGGGTGGTCAGGTTTCATGGCAAGGTTATCTTAGATATAGTGTGGTAAGAAGTAAGGCTATCACAACTGAATGTAAATACATCTCTAGTGGTAACTTATCACTATAGAGTAGGCTCATTTTATTGAACACACGTGGCATTTACACTGCCCGCTGAGAAAACTTCTGACAAGCTGTCATTATGCCTCAACGTCTCCCTAAACGTTAAAAGTAGTACTTCCATTTGTTTATTGATTTGAAAAAGGATTAACGCCAAACTTTGGTGAGTGTTAGGAAGCTTTACCTGTACACAATGTGACGTCACGCTGGGGTCACGTGGTTATCACGTGGATACTTGAGCATTGATGTAGTACATGTAGCCACGTGGTGCAAACATATTGTGGATTATGAAAAAAAGGATCCAGTCTATTTATTTTACTTTGGTTGGTTGCATGGCCGTATAAAGCGAGTCCTCTGCTGGCGTATCGACTGACTGACTCTCTGGCAGAATTTTTAAATGAACTAAGACTGGTTAACAAATTCCCCTTTAATTAGGATAAGTCAATCTATTTTGAAACTGATTAATGTTGTTACAACGTTAATTGCTGTAGATGTTTTGTATCTGTGGAGATCAGAACAATGATATATTAGGTTTTAGTTTGGCAGATTATTGTTTGTGTGTTTTAAACCAGGACTTTTTACATCCTTGTTTCATGTATTCTGGACATGCTCAAAACATTGTTTTTCGTTGCTTTAAGAACATTCCTTGCGTTGTCATTTTGTAAGATTTGTATTACAAAATATCAATAAAACAACTATGATGATTAAGCAGTGTGTTGCCATAGAAATGTCTACATCGCACATATACATGTACAGCATCTCGAATTGTGCGTGTAACAGGAAGGCTGCATGTTTACAAAGTTTACAAATAGACCTTTTCGACCAAGCTATGCACGGCAGCCAGTATCCACCTTTTGATTTTGTGACTTCTCTTCTTTGAAGTACTTGCAGACTAAGTAAGTTACTTACTCAATGGGAAAGTCCTGTTAACATAGACGGTATGTCTATGTTAACGTCATTTCAAGTGTCAAAATATACGACAAACCTACTTATCTTTCCCAATCCAGACCTTAAAATGGATAAAACCAATAAAAGTTCTTGATGTAGATATTTCCTAAAATGTAAAATGAATGAGGCATGGTCAGGGACAGCCACCCACCCACTCACTCCTAGCACTTTTAAGTTTTTAAAATCCGTTTCAGTGACTTAGAAAAAAGTTTAAATGCGTTGCAGTTGAAAAAAGCGACTTTACAGCGGCTTTTTGTGTGCATGGTTTATATCTGATCACGGAGATCTCAAGTCTGCTCAGTCTTGTATCGATGAACACGCGGCTTTGACCTTTAACTATAATTTTCTGTGCCTTTGGTCATTATTATTATTATTATTATTATTATTATTATTATTATTATTATCGCAACAGATATATGATGCCTCTGTAGTAAAAGCTTCAATCTGTTAAAATTTGAAAGTAATAATTATTACCTTTTTAAAGATATTTTATATTAAAGTTCGCCGGGTTCTTATTTGCATGTAAAGAGATATTGAAGAGAATCAAATTGTAGCGAATGTCAGCAAATTTTAATCGATATGACATTATATTTCGTAGAGGGCTTCTTTTTATCAGAAATAAATATTTCAGAATAGTACTTTGAAGCCACACCCTCAATCCCTTATCAAGGAGTTTTATAAATCAAATACCAGTAAAATGGGAATCTCAATAATCGGGAATTTCAAAGCATAAGAATTCCTTTTCATTCGTGTTGGAATTGTAAGTAATAATAAGATTTTTACCGACTTCACTCTGTTATAATTATCTTTAAGTAGTCTGACGGTACTGCACATTTTTACGGCTGAATCCACAGCATTTGGCCAAGGAATCGACTTTTGACTGATTGCGATCATTCTCTACACCGTCTTGAACCTGCGCTTCTATGACTGCTACTGCTAGTTGAGAGAGAGCAATCTTACGGAGGTTATTTGAAACAGGCTGTTCTACTCGCCTTAAACCTGGATTCCAGGACAAAGAATGTTTTCAATTTTTAGCCCCCCAAGAACTAAAAACAGAACTGCCAATGTTATGACCGTTACGCGTGCACATATGTTCCTAGTCGAAAGCCAACATTTAACATGTCGGAAAAAACTCAAAACACACGCTGGTTACGTTTTCTGAAAAAAAAAAACCGATTTTATGGCATTGCCTTCACACAAAAGTCATCGATGTATTTTCCTTTTAACGTTATAGTTGTTTAATACTTTTAAAATGCCCATAACTGACAAAGCCATGGATGAAGATTTTGACCCGTCGTCCATGACCGCGTTCACGATAATTTTGATTAGTATCATCCGAGAAAGCCTAAAGCGAGGCTGCCAGCACCATATGATGCCAATTGAGACTAGACTGTGCAGGAATCCACGTGAGGTTTGGTTAACTTTTTAGCAATAAGGGTGAAACTCTGTCCAGGAGTCGGGAATGTCGTCTAAGAAAGCAGTATAAAAGTGGCACACAAAATACGGAGAATTCGCACTGTAGTGCAAAAGACTGTAACTCAAGGATACTTTAGAGGAAACTATCAGTAAAATTTCCTCAGACGAATTCTGTCAGGGTTTATTCGTAGGCGCACCGCAATCGCTAGTCTGTTATTATTTCTGACCCCACTGTCAGCAAAATCCCGCCTAATTTCGCTTGATTTTAACGCCAACTATCGCCTCTTCGAACTGTTTCGGAAAATAAAAAAAGGTTTGCTATACGAAGAGGTGGTTTTAAAGTAATTTATTGTCTGGCACATTACTGGTGAGTTTTTAATTCGCCTGAACACCCCCTTTACGGGTCGCTTACGTGGTTGCCAAGGTACCGCTGCTAGTCGAAGGAGCTATTCTTGGAACAATGTTAAAACTTGAAACAGTATGGGGTTGCTTGCTGTTTCTTACCCAGGTGGTTTGGCAAATGATTACAGTCCATCCGCGTTTATGGCAAAGATGTGATATATCGTAGATCAAAACTTAGATGATACATCTGCTTTTTATAAAAGCAATTATTTTGTTTCAAGGAAAATGATTTGCCTTTAATTTTTTACAAAATAAATAAATAAATAATAATAATAATAA